CAAAACCATTATACCCTGATTTCCCATTTTCAATGGGTTCAGGGTATAAAAACTATGTTTACCTGATTCTGGGCTGCTGATCTACAAACTCGGCGCTTATTAATGTTGTGATCAATCAATAGAATCATGGATCATGGGACATAAATTGGACAATATTGTTACAAAAGCTATGTAGATTTCTACAGTAGCTCTCTTGGAACATGCCTATGTTAATGGCAAATACATTGTGTTTATTAAATTTGGTTAAAATGTTTTTATTTAGCAAATAATCGAAATAGTTAATAACAATGCACGAGGACTTGATCATTACGTATAATCCAGCACTTGGAGTGTTTGCGCAACTTAACCGCGATTTCTATACCTTAGTCGGGAACGCCCATTTTTGTTGAAACGGCGTCTGAAGTTGCTACGTCTCATATTCCTTCGCCTGTTGTTATTTCGCCTGGTAAGCCTGTTTGAATTGCGCCTGTTTGGATTGCGCCTATTCCGGCGCCTTTGGCCGTTTTGTCTGCGCCTGTTGGGCCTGCGATTGGGCTTCCAGCGCAAGGGAGTTGGGATATTCAGTGGATCCGTTTCCATGGCTATCAATGCCTCAATGTCAGAATCGCTGTCGGTGCCTAAGTCGGCACCTAAATCGGGGCTGAGGGCGGGGCTAGGCTTGGCGTTCTTATCATTTTTGGTATCTTTGATCTTATCCACTTCGTTATCGGTGTCCGGCCCATCAACATCTGCATCGGGAGCGGTGTCACTATCCATGTCTCCACCGGTATCCAAGTCCTCGACGCTATTGTCGGTCTGTGCGGACGCAAAAGACGCCACTAGGCAGAGGCCCAGGAGCAAGAACAGCCAGTGGCACTTCATACTGAATGTTAAACTCATATTGTTGAGATTACAGAAGCCATTAGCTACTTATATAGTCATCTATATTTGAAACCATGGAGCCTATATTTACTCAACTTGTGATATTGAAAAAAGTCGATAGAACAATTGTTTTTGAGATTAGCTTCGGATAACCTCCATCACTCGATAATTTATGTTGTAATACAAATAATTCTGTTTGAATGACACTACAAACCAACAAAAAAAAAAAAAAAAAAAAAAAAAAAAAAAAAAAAAAAAATAAAAAACAAAAAACAAACGAGATTACGCTGTTTCGATCTTGGTCGAAACTAGAGAAAGTTCGTTTTTCTTCCAAGGCCTTCTTTAGCTAGTTTCTGATGATGTACAGAATTAGCTTGATTTCTGTCAATCATTGGCCTGCTTTGCACATCGTATATTGACCAATTATAATTGTAGCTGTAGCAGCTGAGGCTTGTTAACCAATTTTATAAAATAAATTGTTATTCGAATCATTTGCGGACGATGACATACTGTAATTGCATTGTTTACAACCTTATCACCATATGCCATTAAGTAAACTACCGAAAATACTGAGATCTAAAAATGGAAACAGACTATGGACGGGTCACTGCCTGGAAAGGCAACAAATGGGCATTATACCCTTTAGGTCTATCGTAGCAAACCAAAAATACCCTTCGCCGACTGATCGAAATGTAGAACGGACCGCTCATCTATCTATAGTTGCGCGAGCATACTCCCAAACTCGAAATGCCCCAACTGGCAGCTCCCCTACCTTTATCTGCTATATAACAGTTGCATCTGCCAAAGACGAGCAAGAGTTACCTTAGCAGCTCTGCAATGCGTATCTCCTGGTTATTGGGCTTGACAGCTCTACTTTTGGTCCTTGGGCCAAGTAGTGGCGAAGATAAATGCTGGTGCATGTCGACAAAAGTGGAGTGCCCCAGAACGACAACGACGTGTCGCACAACGACACCGACGTGTCCCACAACGACACCGACGTGTCCCACAACAACAACGACATGTCCCACAACAACAACAACGTGTCCCACAACAACAACGACGTGTCCCACAACAACAAGAACGTGTCCCACAACAACAACGAAGCGTCCCACAACAACCACGACGTGTCCCACAACGACAACGACGTGTCCCACAACAACAACGAAGCGTTCCACAACGACAACGAAGCGTTCCACAACGACAAC